ATATATATGGTTTAATGTGAATGATTATCATTAAGTATTGTGTTTAGTATCATTTAAACTGTCGCAGGGTGAGTGGTTCAAATGTCTCATTTCCAAATAAGTAAAACAAAAGGAAATAAGGTTTTTAAGAATTTAGGAATAACTGGCACACAAAGGAATGTGGTCTCTAGGCACTCCCAAAGGTGTAAATTCATGAATGCTAATTTCAGATGGTCAACTTCTACCCCCTGTAATGGTGGGGAAATACAGTAAATTTCCACTAAACTCAAGTTTTACATATCAAATAAGGTCTGGCTATATAAGGAAAATGCAACGAGAGCTCAGGGCTCTTTCTGTATTTATGAGGTTAGCTCATGTATTTCTTAAATGTTGGGTTTGCATCTATTTCTCTTATCCTAGAGCATTTGATGTTTTGTATTGATGATCTTTTAACTGATTATGAAATTGGCATAATACTTTTACCTGACATAATAAATTGTTATATTTGATTATTCTAACAGACTTTGACGTTATTTTCATTGGAGTTAAAAGGAATAGTCAAACATTAACGTATATTTAATGATGCACAGATATCATTGAAAAACCTTTCATTTTATGGAGTCAGATGAAACGAGTTAATACATAAGATAAAATGTATTGCATTTAATTAAAAATCCCTTTGCCATGGGAAGAGACGGAACACGCGTGAGACCTTCACCTCTAATCGATACCGCCATTGGATCGAATTAGAAGGCCTTACAAAACAAAAACAGCATTGGTGTGTGTCTGATTCAGCCATTGGACGTGAACACGGAGGCACACACCGTTTGTTTCGTAAATCACTTTTTTTTTTCACTTGTTCTGACAAGTGAAAAAGGTTTGCCATGGAGTGTAGAGTGTAGAGGAAAAAGAGATATTTTTCTGCGCACTGCCTAGCAAAAACTAACTCCTATCAGAGGAAACAGAGTTTTTGAGAGCTTGAGAAGCACACACACATGGTCTGAAAACAAAAGACCTGTCGATGCAGCTGTGCCTCATCTACTTATATAAAAGTTCCGGGTCAATTTCATTGACGTGTTGCCCACATATTCAGTGCTGGTCACGTTAAAGACGTTTCCAATGCGTTGATCAGCGCAGCATCGATTGTAGCTTTTGAAAGTGTAAGACTGGAAAAACTGATTGAAGAGATAGACCTGACCACTGGTCTATGAGATGAAGGACCTTGCTGCAAATTAACATTTGAACTATCTCTCATACACACTTCTTCCCCGCATCCCCCACTCTTGCAGAGATCACCCAAACTCACACAAGAATCTATATGGTTTTAATTTGAACAACTATCATACAGTTTTATACATGTGTTTAGTATTATTTGAAATGTCTCAGTGCGACTGGTACAAGTGTCCTATTTCCAAATAAGTGAAACAAAAGGTAAGATTTTTAAGAGTTTAGGGATAACTGGCACACAAAGGAATGTGGTCTCTAGGCATGGTCCTACCCCCAAAAGGTGTAAATTCCTGAATGCAAATTCCCACTGTTAGCAAATGGTCAACTTCTACCCCCAGTAAGTCTTCTACCCCCAGGATCACAGTAAAATTCCACTGTAAACTCATGTTTACATATGTAATGAGGTCTGGCTATATAATGAAATGCAGCGGAAGGATCAGCATTCATGTATTTCATAATGTCGGGTAAAAGATTTTCCTTTTTGTTCTAGAACATTTGATGGTTTGCATTCTTAAATGTTTAACCCTCAAGCACGCTACCCTCTGGGTGGGAGAATGAATCCATTGAAAGAATGAATCTTTCAATTGATTTTGAAATTGTAATAATACATTTACCTGACATAATAAATTGTTATATTTGATTATTCTAACAGACTTTGACTTTATTTTCATTTGAGTTAAAAATGGTCAAACATTCACGTATATTTAATGATGCACAGATATCATTGAAAAACCTTTTCATTTATGGAGTCAGATGAAATAACGAGTTAATACATAAGATAAAATGTATTACATTTAATTAAAAATCTCTTTGCCATGAGAAAAGAGTACTGCCATTATATCAAATTAGACGGCCTTACAAAAGAAAACAGAGATTGTTTTGGCTTTACAGCAGCTGTAGATTAAAGTTAATGTCCAGCTAAAGTTAGTTTTGATTGATTCACTTCCGTTGCAAAGATCATTAGTTATTAACCGCTTACACGACACCGTTCTAACCGAAAACCCTTAATGCGCTCCGGCCTACTCATTTGCACAACAACAGTGCCTGGTGGCTTGAGAACGCAAACCTTGAAATAGCTTCCAAGGTGCAAGCGTTGAAAATTTTTGAAAAACGTTATCATCTCTGCGTAAACTTCAAAAACGCGAATCTGTGAAAACGCTGACGGCGTGCACATGCGTATTATGTGTTTAGTCTATAGGTATGCACGTTTATATGTACAATATATATGTCTTTCTTTACAAACACTAAATTACTTTTCTGGCCTTAAAAATTCATAATACAGAATTTTTTGTCGTTTACATGTAAACTGGAATAATTTTGACAACATTTTATCTGTACAGAGGTAAAGGGAAGGGAAGGAGGCTTTCACAGGGGAGAGACTAGTTGACACTTTAGGACTGCATTGTCGTCGTGCCCAGGCGCAGGTCCTTCATCAGATCCGGATACGACTTGGATCCGGCGGACTGCGGTAAGCCTCGGGATAAACAGAGACTAATATAAGCGTAGACGCCATTCTTCTTATGATGTAACGAGTACATCAGGATTCATGGGAAGTGTTCCCGGTTCCAGCTGACCTAATCTATGCAGCCTAAAAGCCTGTGCACACTGGGGCGAAATTTGCCGACGTTTAACGCCTCGTGACTAAACAAAGGGCGCCAATGTGAGTGTGCACACCGACGCGAAAAACGGCACGCGTAAAAGCGTAATTTTTTTAAAAACGCCTCAGGTTTGTTTTTTTGGTTTGACGCACCGCGTCAAAAACTATCCGACCAATGACACACATATGTAACGAAGAAGATATACGCCAAGTAGCATCTACAGTGCCGGGAAGAAATAAGACGAGAAAGATGCAAGGCAAGATGAATGTAGAGCTGCTGGTCTCGTTGGTGTCGGAACATAAAGACCTATATGACAAACGCGACAGCGACTACAAAAATCTTGATAAAAGAGAACTGTTATGACGTGGTATTGCAGAGCAAATGGGCCTTGATGGTGAGTTTCATTTCACTTAATTGTCTTTCATGTACATAGGCTTGTAACTTTTTCCCACAAACGTTTGACAATCGCCATCGTTTGTGTGCTGCAGTGGAGGAGGTTTCTGTTTTACATTAAGCGCCATCTAATGTCAGGGAATGAATTTGCATGTTCACTCGGCTCATTGTCAGCGAAAATCGCTTGGGTGTGAATACAAAAAACACGTTGAAAAACGCAGGCGAATAACGCGCGCCGATATTCGTCCCGGTGTGTACGGCCCTTAACATTGAATTATAAAAATTGATAATGTGTTAGTGTATGCTAGGTCAAAGAGATGTGTTTTTTGTCTAGATTTAAACTGACAGAGTCTGTCTGGTTCCCGGACAGACAAAGGATGTAAAGGTTTGGACTAAAGAATCAATGGAGAAACTAATTAACGCAGCATCGGCACTTCTATATTTTAATCTGTAGTGTTACCTTACTTTTTCTTGCGTACCGGCACTTCCAACACATTCTCATCCTTTGGCGTCATATAGGTGACGCCATATGACATTTCGTCGAAATCTTACGCACATGGCATCCTTTAGCGTCAATATAACACGCACTGTTACGGGTAGGTTTAGGTCTGGGGTAGGGTTACGGTTATGACTCCTTGGGATCTGCTTCTCATATTGACGCCACGTCTGCACTATAAGCCACCTGCACGCTGCACAGTTGACGGAATTGTCACGTGGGGGCCAGTGTTGCATCGTAACTAAAGTTTATAATTTTCACATCAATAGTCTTGCCTTTTAAGTCAGCACTTCTTACATCTTGCCATTACTCTGACTGCCCACATTGCCCCCGGAGCATGCTTTCAAACCCCCAGGAGTACCAGCACTTTTTTTTTCCTGCTTCAAGCACTGATGTCACCTCTTTCACCCACTAGTATTCATTGTTAGCCAGCGAGAGCCACCGATGTGTTACTGGTAATCTGGGTTTGCTTAGCTCGGTTTCTTTGCATTCATTTCTGTCAGGACCACTATCATCAAATACGATTGACAGTTAGCATACAGTTAGGATTTGCGGTATGGTTCTGTTCTGGGCGAGAACTCCTCGCATGGATCCTAGCATGGATAAGAGCTGGGAGAGCAGCAATAACCCCCCTTAGGGTAAAAAGAACAGAACCAACATGAATGTATTAATTCAATATTTGAAAGTACAAGAAAAATCTTGAAGTTTTGAAAAATTTGAGAATTTATTCTGATTCAAGGGGAATCAGAATGCCATACTGACTGGACGAGAGGAGGAGCTGGGGATGGAGGAGGGTAATTAGCTCCTGAGAAACGTGATAGCTGCTAATAATTCTGAAGGAGCTTATATATGTATACAGTGATAGGCGTCGTATTCCTATAAGTAGACGTGTATCAGCTGAGAGTCAGCTGATGCGAGCTTGACTAACCAGAACTGCCAGAACTGATGCTATGGTTAAGTTTGTTTTAATGGTTTTTCCATTGAGTTGATTACCGTTTGCACCTGATGTTTATTTTGTTAATTTGTATTTAAGCCCTGTGTTTTGTTCAGTTCAGTTCAGTTGTCCATTATCGTTGCAGTATACCTGGTTGTTTTGTTCATGTTTTAAGTGAAGAGTGGTTTGTTTCTAGTTCTTCGTTAATAAACCTTTATCCTGCTGCATTTAGATCTTTTTCCTCGCCATTATTTGCAGTCGGCTGTGACACAATGTGTAGACATCTTGTTCGATAATCCCACATGCCTTAAAGATTTTCTACATAACGTTTCTAATAATTGTTTAATTTGAATTTAATGAACAAGTAGCTCACCTCTGGAAAGCAGCACAGAAAGGGTTTAATATAGATGTTGGAGTCGTGGACTTTGAGGTCATGATCTCCTAAACCACGAGTCACACCTATTGTAGCCATCACTCGTGCCTGTGTGTGAAAAATAATAAAAATTCAGCACAAGCATCTAAAATAAGCATACATTCACAAGACTAGAAGAGTATATAGGAATATACACTGAAAAAATAGGCTTAAATTATGAATGAAAGAATGAATGAAGCATTTATATAGTGCTTTTCTTATGTACTACTGTACACCAAGAACGCTTTACAATCATCAGGGGTTTCTCCACACCCAACACCAGCATGGAACATCCCCATGGATGATGGGACTTTAGCCAGAGTGCATTCACCACACTTCAGCTATCGGTAGAGAGGAGAAAGAGTGATAGAGCGATTCCCATCAACTAACCAATTTAGTTGGGGATTATTAGAAAGGCCAAGATTGGTAAGGGCCAATGGAGGGAATTTGTCCAGGACAACAGATTTACACCCCTACTCTTTACGAGGAAGTGTGAGGGTATTTTTAATGACCACAGATAGTCAGGACCATGTTTTTCTATCGTCTCACCCCAAGGACGGAGCTTGTTACAGTATAGTGTCCCCATCACTATACTGGGGCATTAGGACCCACACAGACCACAGGGTGAGCACCCCCTGCTGGCCTCACTAACACCTCACTAACACACCCTCTCTTTTCCCATCCAGGTACTGACCAGAGCATGTGAGCGATATTCCGCTCTATGGGAGCATGCTCCACTCAATCGCTCATGGCCTGAGTGAAGGCTCCACTCATGAACCACTCACGTTCGCTCAAATCCTGCTCCGTCATGAAAGTTCTCTGTACTGTACTATACGTGTTGTAGCCATTAAAGAAAGCAGATTTCATTTCATATTTATGTTTAAATATTATTTTTTTTTTATTAAAAAAAAAAAGCTTCTATGTTGATTATGAAAAGTGAACCACATGAGGCTACATCATAAGATGGAGAGATGGAGTTGGTCAGACATGATTTTGACCACTTCATTAAGTTTTGTTTTTCTTTAAAATGAATTTTGTTTTGTATGAATTATAGCTTAATTTGAATCAATGTTTCATCAACCAATTGCCTGGATTTAATAAATAAGAAGCAAACCAAGAACATCGGGTGTGGATTGGATTGAAGTGCATAACAAACTACCATGTTTCTTTTGAGTAAGGCCGAAACAATAAGTCTTTCTGTTTCTAATGAATTTCTAGAATAAATGTCTCAATTACAGTATGTCTATAGATAGTTATGATATTTGTGGCTTTAAAGCAAAAGGCTATGTATATAGTGGTATAGTGGTTGACCAACGTGACTTGACTGGAGTGCTGAATTGCAGAGCTGGTACAAACCCACATCACTATTGTAATGACTGAGACAAATCAGACACAATTATTTGGTATATTTAACAAATAATCTTTAAAAACTCACTCAGGGATCTATAGTCCCATCCCCTCAACAAGGGCAAGAAGGGTCTTGGTTACCATGACTACGATCAGATAAGTTGGTTTTATTGCTGTTAAAAATGTTGTCACGTGGAAAAAGCAGAGGCCATAGAAAAGACCACACGGTCTTAATACGGCCCTGCAGGCCACAATCTGCATCTGCATGTGCTCAGCCATGTGCTCACGGAGAGAGAGAAAACCTTAAACCAGAACAGAGTCAAACAAACCATTCAAGTTCATCATCATTTCTTCATTCAACACCGAAGAAATCGATTGAGACTCATGGAACCATCGAAATCCTTCTTCAGGAACTACTGCAAAGGCCATGCAAGTATACATTTAATGAGGTGCTCTGAAAATGATAAGCTGATGGTTCTTTTCATAGTTAAATGGATCTTTTCCATAGTTCCATTTCCTGCTTCTGGTTTCATATAGAGCCCAATTTCTGAGTTAGGTTTCCTTTATTAAAGCTGCAGTCCGCAGTTTTTCCTCTTTGTCGCCATCTCTGTTCGAAATCTGCAATTGAAGTTATTCGCGGAATTATTAACTTTACGTGAGTTGTGCCTTGGCATAGCACAGCGCGGATTAATCCAATGTTTTGAGGAGAATGTGCGGCTGTCAGTTGCCACGCCGGTGTGGATACTGTCTTTCGGAATCACAGATTCTACTTTTTGATGTATGACCAACATAAGAATTTTTACCGGAAAATGTAATCTGAACAAGTAAGTAACATTCACTTTTGTTCTGACCAACTAAGGGATTGCAGTTAATCGCGCTGATTAAATATAACGATTGCTTATCAAATCACATAAAACCATGCAAATTGTACTTTGTTCTCAAATTGTAATGTTAACAACATCAGCATTGCGTGACTACATTTAATGCCCTTCCGATATTTATCCTTGTTTTCGTATCGGTCCGGTTGCAGTCTCTTTTTTCTGTAGCCACTCTGAAGTCCAAAGTCTTTTGCATTTTACAACGGGTGAATCTCTAGTTGTCACTGGTGATTGTCGTTTGAACCTTTCTGGATCCGCCATCAAATTAATACGTTTAATTATATCAAGTGCTTGAGAAAAGGCTATAAATCTCCACCTTCAACATCCTCACACGCAGGATGTAGCTAGCCTACTAGCCGAGACTCCTTCTTTACGTGCACAGATGTGACGTAATGATGCAAAGACATGCTGGGATTTCCCGTGGAAATCCACCAGTACCACTGGAATTAAAAACATTATTACAAACTTACCGTTTTGTATCGAGCTAAGGCAAGCAGATAGTTTTGAACACTGTATATGTACTTGCTTAAAAAAAAAATTGGGATAATTTTTAACCCAAAAAAGCTACGGACTGCAGCTTTAATTATAGCAGCACTGTCCTTGTACAGCATAATATTTTTTAACTTTTACAATATAATCAATTCTTGTTTATCTTATTAAAAAAAAAGTTGTTTTTTTTAGACACACAGACATCAATAATCAGCCTATGAATCTTTTAAATTATAAAGCATGTTGCAGTGCATTCTGGGTGCCACCAATCAAAACTGCATGAATAAATAATGAGCTTATGGTCAGAGGTGATCTGTTTGTCACCATTGCTGAAAATCATACGCTAATTCTTGATGTCTGTGTGTGCCTACATAAAATAATTTTTAGAAGTTTCTTTTATTGATTTGATCATTTGGATTTCATTGAAAAGGCTAAAAATGGTATGCTCTACAACAGGGGTGCCCAACCCTGCCGATCGACTGTCCTGCTCAGTTTATTTCCAACCCTGATCAAACACACCTGAAGCAACCAATTAAGGTCTTCAGGATCACTTGAAAATTAAAGGCAGGTGTGTTTGATTAGGGTTGGAGATGAACTGTGCAGGACAGTCGGTCGGCAGGAGCAGGGTTGGGGACCCCTGCTCTACAATGACTGTGCTGCTATAATCCATAAGGTAAACTTAACTCAGAAATTATGCTCTCAATGAGTTCAGTGCTTCAGGTCAAATAACAATTATGTTAAAACAAAACCAACACCATCAGATCACCTTTTCTATTTGTTCATCTGGCTGTTATAACTCAGGTAAAATAGCCAAACAATCTAAAGTTACTGATTTTAGGGTCAAGAGACCAACTAAAACAAACAGTGATCACCATAATGGTAACTTGCAAATTCTGGTTTTCTCCTTCAGTGATTCTGCTTTGTTAACATCAGGTGTCTTCAATAATGCTCAATCATCACTCAATTATTCACTTAATTAATAATTAAGTGTTCAGTGTTCATTTAACACTATGCCCAGAGTTTATATAATTCAGTCTCAGTGTTAATTTAACACTCTCAGTGTTAAACATTTTGCTGTGTTGTGTGATGCCGTGAGTGAGAGATTTGGGTGTAGTATTTGATGAATCTTTGAAATTTGAGAGGCAAATAAATTTCGTAGTGAAATTTCAGTTAAGACTACTATCAAAAGTAAAGACTTTTCTTTCTTTTAAAAATTTCAAAAAAATTAATACATGCATTTATTTCTTCAAGGCTGGATTACCGCAACTCTCTTTACGTTGGGATTAGTCATTCAGCAATGTCACGATTACAAGTAGTACAAAATGCGGCAGCTAGACTTCTGACGGGTGCAAAAAAACCCGGAATCATATCACGCCAATTTTACGTTCCTTACACACTGGTTGCCAGTTTGTTATAGAGTGGAGTTTAAACTTTTACTTTTTGTGCACAAATCTTTAAATAGTCTGGCTCCACCCTATTGTCTGCTCTATTGACTGAGCATCATCCAACTAGATCAATCCGGTCATCAAATCAGAGACTCCTGTCTATCCCTAAGTCAAAATTGAAGTGTAGGGGGTCCATGCCTTTTCTGTAGTTGCCCCTAGATTATGGAATGACTTTCCCATTTCAATTAGAGTGGCCTCTTCATTATTTGTTTTTAAATCCAAGTTAAAAACAGTTTTGTTTGATAAGGCATTATGCTGAAGCACCATTCCATTGCATCTCATCATTAGTTTAAATGGGAGAAGCACTTATTTTATGGCATTTTACTTAAATGTATATTTGTACTGTTGTTGTATTGTTGTTAGTTTTTATGATTTTTTATTAATATTGTAAAGCACATTGGACAATGTAAATTGTATTTAATTGTGCTATATAAATAAATTGCCATTGCCATTTATTTCTATCAACGAAATCTGCTACTGGACAGAGTGGGTTTATTGTTCTTGCATTTATTTTACTCTGGCCATTGAACAGCTTGTCCAGAAATGTATGCACAATCGTTATAACACATTTTCAGGTGATTTGAATTATAACCAAATTAAGATTTGGCAAAAAGTGGTGGGAACTTGTCCCACCCATATCACATGAAAATGATGCCTATGTTCTCTGCTAAAATACCATTCATAATGGTTGTTTTAATTAAAATATAAATTCAGTAGTGCTGTCAATCGATTGAAATTAATTCTGTATTCACAATTAATCGCACCTAACATTAAATTATTTAATGTTCTTTTATTGTAATAATTTCACATTGAATCTCCAAATTAAATGTAGAAACAACATAAAGACCATTTGTTTTAATTATGTGTTTAAAGGCATTTTAGCCATTAATTATAACCATTAAAAATTCCACCATTTTTTACATTTGAATTGCCACACAACAGAAGGGAACAGATAGGTAAGTGCATAAAAGTTTGTTTATTATAGCAGTGGAATGGTAGCGGGAACAAGGAAATGGTGAGTCTATGGCGACAGGAATTTTCAGATGGTGACTTAGCTCGATGTTTAATGGAAATTTGGTTCTTGACAGGTGGTGTACAAAAGGTGACGGTAAACGAACTGGATCTGGACTTAAGATGACGGAAGAGGCAATCTCTGGTGAGGCTGGTAGGTAAGCTTTGCAGGTCTGGAAGCAGGACTCACTCCACTGCAGGATTTCTCCAGAGTTCCAGTTGATATTGGCATCATGTTGTGACATTCACGGGCGTCCCAGGATGAGGTCAGCGGTGGATCCTTCCAGCACCATGAACGAGATCTTCTCCTCATGCAAGCAGCCGATGTGGAGCGTCATGGTGGGGGAGAAGTGACGAATGCGACCACAGCCCAGCGGCTTGCCAAGGATGGTGTGTATCGCTAGTTCCTGGGAACAACGTTTCCTCTGGAGGTTGAGCTTTTGGAGAAGTTGGTCGAAGATAAAGTTCCCTGCAGACCCGGAATCAATGAGAGCTTGCGCTGAAACAGTGAGTTTTTAGGGGTTAGAATTTGGACAGGAGTATGAGTGAGGGGAGTGATCTTAGGCTGAAACTGAATAGTACTCACCGCTGGGTGTGGTGGTTGGATAGGAAAGCTTGTGATGATGTGGCCTTCTCCCCCACAATAAAGATATAGGCGGTTCAGAAGTCGTCTTTGACGCTCCACTTGAGTGAGATGATAGGCATCAACTTGCATGGGTTCAGGTGCTGGAAGGGCGACAGGTGGTGAGGTGGGCGGAGGATGCAAAGCGGGTTTTTTCAGTGAGCAGGCAGATAGACGTTGGGAAATACGGATGGCCTTTTGAATGAAACTCTCCAAACCGACCGTGTTGTCATAAATCACCATCTGGTGGCGCTATTCCAGGTTTCAGAAGTGAATCGATCAAAACTAACTTTAGCTGGACAATAACTTTATTCTAGAGCTGCTGTAAAGCCAAAACAATCTCTGTTACTTTAATTTCCTGTTATCACTGTAAAGCTGCTTTGAAACAGTCCATATTGTTAAAATGAAGGTGACTTGACTTCAGACCCTGGCGGAAAGCAGTGAGCAGGGCCGTCTCATTCCAGCTACTAGATGCTGCTAAAGTGCAGAATTGGAGAGCGTAGATGCCAATTGAAGTATTACCTTGACGTAGATTGAACAGTTGATCGTGAACAGATAACACTGATGCAGTTTGCCAGTTGACTTCCTTGAAGTGATTGATAAACGAGCTCAAACTATGGAAAGAACTGTTGTTTCTCTGAAACTAATAAGGTGAAGAACCTTATTATGCGTAGAACAAATAAATGAAAGATTATTTGTTATTAACTAACATCAGCTATATTACCTCTAATGTAAATTAGAAAATCATATACCGGTACTGATAATGTTGAAAGATTGAAAAATGTAAAATAAAAAAATGAAAAAGATTTGGTGAATTGATATGTACGCAGTGAGCAGTCTGATGGCAGTGACTTCTTCCACTGGTTGTGCTGGGTAACAATGCAGTGGGGAAAGGAGCTGGAATCCAGAGCTTAACCTTGTTGCAAATGTATGTTTATCTTCTGCCTTTCTGGGCCAAACATTCAGACCTAGGTCAATCCACTTTTGTCTCTCTGGCATTGTTACGGTTGGTGGCTTGGTTTGTGTCTTTGTTTTCTTTGTTTTGCCCCTCCCTTGTTTGTCTTGGCGTCGCTCTATCCTTTCGGAGCGTGTACGTGGTCTCTCTCTCTTGTAGGTGGACGCACCTGTTTGTGATTTGAGAGTGGCTGATTGATGGAGCTGACTGATAAATACGCCAACGAGGAGGAGAAAGAAAAAGCGACGACAGATCTTGTGGGCTAGCCAGCAAATAAGTGTCTTTAGATCTTTATTTTGTTGTTTTCCCCCCCTTGTTAGTTGTTGTCTGTTTTGTTAAATTCTTTCCTTGGTTGGTATGTTCATTATTATAGTGACGTCTGTTGTGAGTGAGTGAATAAATATTTGATTGATTCCACTGTTTACTCGTTCTTGTTTATGTCACGTAATCTCTCTTCTCTTTAGGCTGATATTCTTATGAAAGGTTGTAACAGCCATGGAGACTTGGAACGTTCTGCATCTGTTATTGTCTCGCTGGTCGAAGACTCTGAACGTAGCGTTTGGTAATGACTCTTTCCTCACAGACTTGGAGGCTCAGAACGTGGTCGTAACTGTTGCTGCCTCACAGGCTCTAGACTCAGTTCATGCAATCTATTGTTGTCTCTCTGGATGAATCAGAGGCTACTGAGTGTTCGCTGGATGAACTGATTGATTGTTAATTGTCTCAACATAGCTATATGCAATTCAATGTTTTTATATGGAAGGATGGTTTATAAGTTTATAATAAAGCTTGGTACACAGTTTGGAAATGTTTGCATCATCACAACTTATAATACAAATTATACTGTAGGCAAAAAAGTCAAAAAGTTGGGAACATCAGGTTTGGGGAAAAAGAAGTTAACATAGTGACCCTTACAAATTTACTTATTTGATTAGTGACCAAGAAAGAGAACAGAATCTTAACTCCCTCTTATATATCATATTGTGTCTGTTACAATTTTTTTCAACTTCCTAAAGCGGTTCATTTCCTGTTTGACATAAGTAAAGAATATTTTCATTATTATCTTATATTTTGGAACCATACTGTACTTAATACATGTATATAATTAAATATGATTACCGTAATTATATAACTAAACAAAAACTATTAAACATAAATGTCTATCTCTTGATATCTCTTTATTCTTTGACTAAGACAGATATATCTGAAATCTATTTGAACATATGAGCTGGAGCTGGAGAGCATCCATCCATGAAATAGGAGTAATATTCACTTTGAGTGGCAGATAAGTGAAACGTTTCATATACAGCATTGCACAGAGTAGTCCTGCAATAGCAAGGTGATGTAGCAGAAACTATCCTATCGTTGGCTTCTCTAATCAAATAAGTCTTTTATCCCTTTTCTTTTGTTGTCCATTCCAATATTATTTCTCTTTGACTTCAACTCTCTTCGACTTTGACACTTCTGATGTCATCTCCTGTGTGTTCATTTGCTTTTTTCCCCATCCTACTCTCTTATCTGTTACCTTTTTTCCTTCTCCATATATCAAAGGAAATTTGAGGTCCTCATCCTCAATGGTTTTATAAGCCCTGTTAAGACAAAAAGGAGAAAATAAAGTAGGACTTAAGGGTATCTAATTTGAATGTATGTACAATTCATCAGCTGGCCCAGAAAACATAGTGTAAAAGGGCCAAAGAGAGAAAGCCACTGTCATTGATTCTTTATCTTGTCAAGTAAGTAGTTATTAAACCACTTTATTAATTTTCTCCAGGCCAAAAATATATATATTTTTTTTCAGATTTGGTGTTCATTTGACATTTCACTATATCACAGTACCAAACATACTAGACAGTAATGCAGGCAAATGACAATTTATTTATAGAACACATTTAAAAAAATAAGTTGTAAATGCATTTATGACACTTCTGATATGCATTAAAATGTGTAAATACATCTAAAAATACATCTAAATGCCACTTCAGATGCAACTTCTGTGCCACCTCTGCAATGCAAAAATTATATCTATAATTATTATAATTTGATTGGCAGCTCTATAGTTTTTGGTGTCTCTAGGTTCTTGTTACCTGTGTTTATTTCAGGTGTCCTTTGTTACCATGGTTTCTTGTATGTCCTCATTTGTTTCATAGTTACTTATAGAAATATATTTCTAAAGTTACTTTTTGAAATGTCTATTCAATGCTTTTCTCATCTAACAGTAACCAATTATTAATCAATTAAGCACCACATCATGTAATTAATTCAAAATCAATCTATTCCAAAACATGTGCAAGTCCCCTTTAAACTTTATATTTAAACAAGGTGTAGATAAAAGTATTTTTTAAGGATCTTTGAGTCCTTGAAGAGTGCTAAAGCTTAGAAGATCAGCAAGACATGTACCCACATAGCAACATTGTGACGTCCCAGATCCGGCCCACATCTGGCACATGTGGAATGATGATCTGGCCCCCATGCAGCGTGGAATGACGGCCCTTGGGTGGCCCACTCCTGTTTGCCAGATCTGAGCCACAAGCAGGCCAATGCAAAGAGCAAAGATGTATTCGATCCAAAAGGTGACCATCGTCAAACTTACAAGTATTTGGATGTTTATATAGACAGCTCACTTACTTCGAAAACTCACACGGAATGGGTTTGCACCCGGCTGCACCAGAGACTGTACTTCTTACGTAGATTATGTTTTTATGGGGTTAATAAGAAAATCATGTGTTTTACAAAGCTGTTTTAGAAAGCATAGTTAAGTATGGTGTTACAGTATGGTTTGGGAACCTAACTATACAGCTTAAATCTAAATTAGCACACCTGGTGTTGACAGCACTAAAAACAGTTGGACATGAGGAATATTTGAATCTTCAACATTTATATGAGAATTGCATTCTGAATCAGGTACAGAAAATCGTGGGGGACCAAACTCACCTTTTGTATTCACAGTATGAAATTCTCCCCTCTGGTAGAAGATATAGAGTCCCATTGTGCAAACTAAATCGGTATAAGAATTCCTTTGTTCCTGTATCTGTACGAATGCTGAATAACAGTTTATCTTATTAATTTTAAATTTGTAAAGTCTTAAATCAACTATTTCTTCTCTTATTATATGTATATGCAGCAACATGTAGTCCAAAACAAATTTCCTTTCGAGGACAATAAAGTATACTACTACTACTACTAAACCAGAACTGGACCTTATCTGAGCCACAAAATCTGTGTATATTAAATATGGAGTCATCTCAGCCTTAATAAGCCTGTTAACAAGCAGAATCACTGAAGGAAAGAAGAGAACAGAAAAAGGAACGAGGAGAAACACAAGAACTACAACTGACTTCAGCCACAGTCTTAGATGAAATCAACTGAAGATAAAAGATTACATTAAATCTCTGAAGATCTCAGCAGAGGAGTATTAAACAACTCCACAAACAGCATTACCAGCTTCACTTATTACTAACCAGATTGACTTTATTTCTGTCAGATGTCTACAGGAGTTGTTATTGGGAATTAACAGGGGTTTAACTCTGATGTCACCCTAACAGTGAATAGCGTTTCCATTACTTGGGCTCTTAGGCTTATATCTTTTGTCTTTCTTTTTTTTCTTTTATTTATTTATTAGGGACCATGTACAATTTCAAACAGAAATGTTACCATTTGATGCATTGTACCAGAGTTAGCCGTAGGCTATTTTACATCTGCAGTCCCCTGGCAGGGTACAATAAAAACAAACTCACCCGCCTCTTTAAGTCACCCGCCTCTTACTTAAAACTCTTGATGGAATTGCAGCTCTTTACTTCATTCGCTATTGCATTCCACTGTGTAGTGGCTTTGTAAGAAAAAGCAGATTGTCTAAAGGTTGCACGACAGAAGGGTATGTTACAGTCAAAAATGGAAGCTATTCTGGTAGATTTTACTGAAGTTACAGGGCGATTGCATGGTTGCATGGCATGATTGATGGTTACATATCACATTATAAACCCTGTGTTACAGCAGTTAGACAATTTTAATAAACATGGGTACAAAAAGATAACCTATGCTGACACACAGACATCAACAATCATCACATGAATCTCAACGATGGTGACAATCAACAAAATATTTAGATACCAGATCAACTCTGAACGTCACAAAAAAACCACTAAATGTCACAACAAAAAACACAAAAAAAAAGCTAATATTTAGAACTAAACAAAATAATAGGACAATTCAGCTGCATAATTTATTCATGCTGCAATGCATGCTGGGCGTTTTGTACTATGTTGGTACCCAGCATGCATTGCAGCAAGGTACTTTTGATTGTCACCATTGTTGAGATTCATGTGCTGATTGTTGATTTCTGCATGTGTAAATTATGGTTTTGTGCTGACTGATAAATCTTCAATCTGATTTTATAATACTGCTCCTCTCAAGCAGCAGTAACACAGGGTTTGTAAGGTAAATATATTAATGGCACAACAAAACTGTTAGATTTGTTTAGATTCAAATGACATCATAGGGTTTTTCATGATGATTTTAAGACCATCAAAAGGTAACGGTCATTATCTGATACAAGTTTGTTTTGTTACGCTTCCTTTACTATTGCAAATGTGTTTGACACATACACGTTCACAGCAGACGAAAAAGACAATAAATATAATAAGAGTTAAGAGCCCAATTAATGGAAACACTAATCACCATTATGGTGACTTCACATTCTACACTTTAGAGTTAAACCTCTGTAGAGGTCTGTCTGCTTGTGGGCCAGTTTTGCTCTTGGCTGACATGTGGCATTGCTATGGGCTGCTTGTGGCCCAGATCTGGCATATACATATAAAAAGAGAAGAAATAGTTGATTTAAGACTTTACAAATTTAAAATTAATAAGATAAACTGTTATTCAGCTTTCGAACAGATAAAGGAACAAAGGAATTCTTATACCGATTTAGTTTGCACAATGGGACTATATCCTCTACCAGAGGGGAGAATTTCATTCTGTGAATACAAAAAGTGGTATTGATCTGAAAATACAGATTGTTTCAAAGCAGCTTTACAGTGATAAACAGGAAAATAATGATTCAATGATTCAAACAGAATTCAACTGCTGTAAAGCAGCTCTAAAAGACAACAGTAAATCAGTGGAAATCAGTTCAGTATTGATTCAATAACTGTAAATTACATCAATTATGAAAGGAGTTCAATTCAGCTATATAGCAGCTCTGCAGAAAACAGTGATGTCAGCTAAGTTTATTTTCTTATCCAATAGTGTCGGTGCAGTCAAATCAGTCATTTTGCTGAATATTAAGTGTCCTCAACTAAGCAAGCCAGAGGCAACAGTGGCAAGGAACCCAAACTCCATCAGGTGACAGAATTCAGAAAAAAACCCTTGGGAGAAACCAGGCTCAGTCGGGGGGCCAGTTCTCCTCTGGCCAACAAACGAACACTGTGTTTATGATTCAGGCTGCATCATAAGCTTTGCAACCGAAAGCTGACAATTATGGGAGGTACCATATATAACGTGCTACCAGAGTGATTTTTGTAATATTTGTCAATGTAAGAGTTGATTCAAATATTAATCTTTCTAGTTAAAATGCTCTTTTAGTGGTCATGCTGATTTACTGAGCCTATAGGCTAATATACTGAATTACTGAAGGAAAGAAAAGAACAGAAAAAGAGATGAGCACTACAACTGACTTCCAACCACAGCCTTAGATGAAATCAAATGAAGATAAAAGAAGACATTAAATGGTAACACTTTTTTTCGATAGTCCATTTTAGACATTCTACTAACTATAAGTAACTTTGCAACTACATGTCAACTAACTGTCATTTGAGTATTAGGAGACTGTCTGCTTAATCTCTGCTAACACTTTATTTTGATGATAACATATTCTACTGACTATAAGTAACTTGGCAACTACAAGTCAACTTATTCTACTAACCCGAACCCGAACCCTAACACCTAACCATAACCTAACAGTCTACTACAGTCTGTAGACATTAGTAAATGTCTACAGTCTACTGTAGACTACAGTCTACTACATTAGTAAATACTCTAATGAGTTAGTTAACATGTAGTTGCAAAGTTACTTATAGTTAGTAGAATGTCTAAAGTGCCTATCGAAATAAAGTGGAACCCATTAAATCTCTCAAGATCTCAGCAGAGGATTAAACAACTCCACAAACAGCATTACCAACTTCACTTATTACTAACAAAATTGACTTTATTTCTGTTAGACGTCTACAAACGTTTTGATTGAGAATTAACAAAGGTTAACTCTAATGTTTCATTTGAAGTCACCATAACAGTGATTAGTGTTTCCATTAGTTGGGCTCTTATCTCTTATAGATATAATTATATCTTTTGTCGGTTTTGGCTGCTGAGTGTGTTTGTTTAACACATTTACAGTAATAAAAAATAAGCTAAAGTGGATCGAGATCAGGTAATGGTGGTTTTATAATCATCATGAAGTAACCTAATGTCATTACATAACAATTGTGTTCTTCCATTAATACATTTAGGTTACAATCCCTGTGATACTGCAGTATGTAATCCAGATTTGAGCACAAACATGAGCACAAAAGTATTTACAGTGACATGCAGACAAACAGAGACATCAATAATCAGCGTATGAATCTCAACTATGGTGACATTCAAAAGTGCCATGCTGCAATTCATGCTGGGAGTTTTGAACTATGCATGCATTGCAGCATGGCACTTTTGATTGTGAATAAATTATATGCAGCTGTCCTATTATTTTGTTTAATTCAAAATATTTGCTTTTATTTTTCGCTCTTGTTTTTGTTGTGACATTTAGTAGCTTTTCTGTGATATTCAGAGTTGATCTGGTAATCTGAATATTTTGATGATTGTCACCATTGTTCAGATTCATGTGCTGAATGTTGATATATTTTTGTGCTAATATTTGTTCAAATCTTCAACTGATTGGTGTGGTTGTACAGGGTTTATTATGTAAATGTATAAGTGGCATGACAGTTTTTTGATTCAAATGACATCAGAGAATTAGCCTATTTCATGATGATTTTGATACCATTAACCTCTTACAATCCTTGCCATTTTTGGGGATTTCCGCCTGGATTTGGCCTACCCAAATAAAAAAGCTTCCCATTCCCACATACTTTGGCCTAAATACACAGTTTTGGTGTCATTTTACAGGAAACCCTTTGCAGTTTCATAAAACAGTGCTAAAAGTGATACACATTTAAGTATATGTTGTCTGAGCTTTAACACAAAAAAAGAGGCGCTTTTTGATTTTTTAATTTTAAATTAATTTTTGAAAGTGTATAACTTAGGCCCTGTGGGGTTTAGGGACATGCAGACAAGTATGGCTATTTCCTCTAGATGACAGCAAACACTGGAAAAAAGATTTTTTTCCTCTATAATAAAAAATGAAAAAGATATTCAAATAAATCTGAAGGGAGGAATATTACCTTTTTTATGTAATTTCCACCTACCCAAATCTAAACTCTGCTCATACCCATACCCAGTGGTCCATATGCAATATTCCAGTGTAATTTGACAGAAAACCCTTTGAAATTATATAAAACACTGCTGAATGTGATAAATATTATAGTATATGTTGTCTGTGCTATAGTAAACAAAAAGAAAAAAATAGGCGCTTTATGATTTTGATCATTTTATTCTTTCAGAAGATACAAGACTTATCATTTGACACATTATTTGCCTAAAATCTGTGGTCTATTACAATCTAGAACAAGATCCTCATCCTCCAGATTTATATCATTCATTATATGGGCATCAGTTTTGTCACCTGTGTTGTGCATCACCTCAACATCACCGGCCAGCCTCCTGGGGATGTGATGCCAGCTGTGCCAAGTTGCCAACAGTGCCACATCTTCAATCTCCAATAGAACCTGAAACAAAGAAATCACTGTTTATACATAGTTTCTGCACTGTAATAATATCCATTTCACAATATCAAAATGTAGATTTACTGAAATGACAATTTTATTCAACTTATGCAAACTTGGGAACTATTGCGCAATCATACTTTCCATATCCAAAACATTTGACATTTATTTTCAAATAATAGTTTATCAGATTGGTTGCTGTGCTTTCACATTTCAAATTAACAATAACTTTATGTTAGTAAAAATGTATATAAACATTGTAAATGCTGAAAACCCATAGGGTGTACGTAACTTACCCAAACGCAGTCTTGAGAATGCGCTCCAAATTTCTCCAAATGGTCCATTTACAAACCAGTTGCACCTCCAAAGATCGCTTTTATCAATGCCATTGATGCTTTTATCTTTCTAGATGCAATTATAGAAATCAAAACAGTTCATAAACTATAATAACACACGCAAACTCGCAGATGGATAGATGCCAGTTCGCTTTGTCAACAGAGAGTGGTCACCCAGAAGTGATCCACGGAGCGACCTCCGCGTCGACAGGAATCCCGTCTTTTGAAAGGTCCGTCTGAAATGTGACGCGAGCTTAGTTCCTTTTAGATCTATAAACTATCTGGATTGCCTTTAACAGTACCAAAGCTAAGGCGCTTCTGTGGACGCTTCTGTGTAGATGACTTGGAGATTCTTGCACGCTCAGAGCGCGTCTCCTCTCAGTTCATTCGAAAAGCTTTTTCTTAACAACGAAAGCTCACAGAAACGTGAAAATGGTCTCATTGGAAAGATAACATCCTAAGCTAAAAGGTGATATAGATTATGTGGCTGTTTGCAGCTCACTGAAGCCGACATCGGAGCAGGAATGTGATACTTTTATCTGTCACCTCTGTTTGATTTTATTTCACTGCGCGATTATTTTGAAGATATTTCGATCTATGATTGTCTCACAATGTAATAACCTACATTGACAAATTCCTTAGAATGAGAGCTTTATTGTAATATATGATTTGACTGTTTTGTGAAATATATAAAAAATAAATATTTGTAGAAAGATTTATTCGCAATCATAAAGCGGAAATATTTGCCTGGGACCAATGCATATTTAAGCTAATATTTCATTTGATATGTATCATAAAACCGAAAGTGATGGTATTCTTTGTAAAGTATAGATTCTAAGCTTTCAAATGATACCAAGAAAGGGGTGATACCTTATATGGAAGCCTATAAAAAGAACGTACGAAAATCATAACAAAGATTTTTGGTCCCGGTACCGGGATCGTGGATTTTTTAACAAGTAACCATAATCTCCTGATGATATTTTGTTAGCTTTCTTTGTGGAAACACTTATCACTGTTATGGTGACTTCAAATGAGCAGAATTAAACCCCTGTTAATTCTCAACAACAACTCCTGTAGACGCCTGACAGAAATAAAGTAAATCTGGTTAGTAATAAGTGAAGCTGGTAATGCTGTTTGTGCAGTTGTTTAATCCTCTGCTGAGATCTTCAGAGATTTAATGTCTTCTTTTATCTTCAGTTGATTTCATCTAAGGCTGTGGCTGAAGTCAGTTGTAGGTCTTGTGTTTCTCCTCGTCTCTTTTTCTGTTCTCTTATTTCCTTCATTGATTCTGCTTGTTAACAGGGTTATTAAGGCTGAGATGACTCCATATTTAATATACACAGATTTTATGGCTCAGATAAGGTCCAGTTCTGGTTTATTTATTTGCTCTTGACTGACATGTGGTATTGCTATGGCCTGCTTGTGGCCAAGATCTGGCAAACAGGAGCGGTCCACCCAAGGGCCGTCATTCCATGCTGCATGTGGGCCAGATCCTCATTCCACATGTGCCAGATGTGGGTCGGATCTGGGCAGTCACAATGTTGCTAAGTGGGGTCTATGCAAATTTCTTTTAAAAAGCAGTCATAGGAATGCCAAAACAAGAATTAAAGAAAATATATAAATAAATACATTTACTGTATATATATAAATACATATATACAGTCAAACCAAAATTTATTCAAACACCCTCAACATTTCTCACATTATCACAGTTTATTTGCTAGTTTAGAAAATGGTAATAAAATGTGACAAGAACTCAGAGTTTATCAAATCAATTGATATTTCACTGGTTTTGGTCATCCTTATTAGACTGTCTCACAAATGAATTAGGTTGAATAGCTGTCAGCTGTTAAATTTAAGTACACAATTAGATAATACCAATTTAGGTCAACCAATTTTGTTAAGCAATGCTTCATTTTGTTAAGTCTGTGGTGTAAAAAGGTCACATTAGCAATTAAAGAAAAAAACACTTAAGCAAAACATGATCAGGTCAAAGTGTCTGAATAATTTTTGGTCTCACATTTTTATTAATTTTACTGGTAGTCCACTGTATGAAGAATTTTTGTGTATAATATGTCACAGTTTACTTTATTAGCTATCTTCACTTACATACATTTACTATAGTGTCCTTCACCCACTAGTAAAAATATATAAAAACTTACATCTGGTGTCTGAATAATTTTTGGTTTGACTGTATATTGTTTCTGTTTCTAATCCCTGAAAAAAAACTTTGCACAATTTCGGATTTCATTGATTGAATAAATTTACAGCTTCTGCACACCTCCTAAAGGGCACGACTAGCTCTGCCGCAATAGTGATGGAGCAGATATAAATATATACACATAAAAAATAATAACCTCACCAGCCAGTCATGGTGAAGTCTCGGTACAACATCTTCTTGCCCACCTCCTTCCTTTGCACTCTTCTGGGAAACTCCAAGTGTGTGAACTCTCCTCCTAACAGATGGGGCTGCATGAAACCCTAAAAACAAATACAAAGAGAGAAATCATCTAACACTCAAACAGCAAACAGAGACTTTGCAAACTATGCCAACAAAATGTAACAGTCCAACGTTGATGACAACTAAACCAATAGTTACATTATATTTTACATTTGCACATTTGGCTTTTATCCAAATGACATACAGTGAATTAAAGGCTACATTTGATCTGTTTGTGTATTTCCTGGTAATCAAATGCAGCATCATCCTCTGCCAGTTGACAGATTAATCTCAGTGGAAGCATATAGAGAAAACAAGACGGGGCCAAAAGAACATTGAGGAACCCCAGAGGAGATAGGCAGAGAGGAGAAAATACAGCTCCCTAATTCCACAGCAAGGTTCTCCCATGTAAATAGGATGAGAACCACTTTAGCGCAAGCCGCCTATTTTAGACAATATTTATTTAGATACACGTCAGCAGCATCTTACGTCGTCAGCATCACTGAACGCGGATTGACAACAGAACTGGAAGAGAATACAATGCTGAATAAAGTCATAGTTTTTGTTATTTTTGGACCAAAATGTATTTTCGATGCTTCAAAACATTCTAACTAACCCACTGATGTCACATGGACTACTTTGATGATGTCTGTATTTCCTTTCTGGACAAGGACAGTATACCGTACATACATTTTCAATGGAGGGACAGAAAGCTCTTGGACTAAATCTAAAATACCTTAAACTGTGTTCCGAAGATGAACGGAGGTTTTACGGGCTTGGAACGACATGAGGGTGAGTCATTAATGACATCATTTTCATTTTTGGGTGAACTAACTGTAGTGAAGTTTTTCTTCCACGCAACAGACCAGGAGACTTTGAGGTATCTTTCACGCAGAAGTTCTTTATTGCGTCGCTGTCATCTCAAGAATAGTCTGGCTAACTAAAATACAGAACTATTCTTATACATTTCAAAAAAAGGGGTTGGGTTACATAGAGGTGGAGACACTGAAACAAAGCAAATGGAAATGCAAGATTCAGCTGGTTACAGGAAATTCTTCAGGCCTGATCTCATCAGCATAGCAGTTATTCGGAGCCTTGAGATGCTAATCCAGTCAGCCTGACTAGATTGGTTAAACCTTTACATTATCTTTGAGACAAAGAGTGGGAGTCTCAGTGGCCATTAAGAGTTTTCAGTAATCTGACCAATACAGAAAAACAGGATGGGCCGGATATAATGACCATCCTAATCTTAAATGCTAAATTCAATGTACAGAACTGTCTCAGGTTATACACAGTTTGTTTTGGAACCTAAATTATACATTTAATAAATTTGTAATACCACATTTCCCCCTTTGAGAGTTCTAAATAACTCTCACAAAATACAAATTTAGACACTTAAAAGTTCTCTTGTAACTTTGTGATCGTTACAGGTACCTAAAACATTAGCTCTGTGTTTGCTTTTCTGTAATTGCATGCTGACACAGAAAACACACATGCAATTACAGTCCGTTGTAGTTCTTACGGATAATAGTCTTTTCTGGTTGGAACTGTGATTTTCTCGTGAGAGGTGTGATTCATTTGTTGGATGAAACACTTGATACTGTGGACGCATAGATAGTACGCTAATAAGAGAAACAACAGCAGAATTGCTATTTCCTTCATCCACATCCACGGTTTACCTAACAAGTTCCCTTTCGAAGGGAACTCAACAATACGTCATCGACGCTATGGGGAACGCCTCAGGCGTGACAGGTGTCTGAAATCAAGTTTCAACTCACAGCAATCATGTTGACCGGCGACAGCCCGTGCATCATCAGCTCGGATGATGAGCGCGCAACCTGGATGTATAAAAAGGGTGCCTTGAAACCGTGACAACATCCTTTCGTCTTCAGGGACTGTTTTGTCTGTTTGAAAGAAATCAGCGAAAATGAAGCGTACAGAGAAGAGGAGAAATTCCTTTCCTCAAGTGTGCCGACCCGTGTCCCAGATATTTGACACCGGAGGATTCACACGATCTGTGCGTTTTCTGCCTGGGTGAAGAGCACGCGCTGGAAGCTCTCGAGGGATCTTCCTGCGCAAACTGTGAGAGTTTTCCTATTAGAACTCTCCGCTCTCGTCTGTCCCACTTCTCGAGGAAAGTGGGCGCGGCATCTGAACCCTGCGGTGCCGGTCCCGCTCGAGCTGAGGCTCAGCGGCGCTTGAGCTCGTGGGGCTCTCAGATGGAGCTGGCAGATCAGCTGGAAAGGGGCGTTAACCTTGCGGATGATCTGACAGCTGACGAGGGTGAGTTACAGGTCGATGTAGAGGAGGTTCTTTCTCTTTCTGATGGATCTGTAACTGGTTCTCTTCGGGCCGGGCAGGAGTCGGCTGCTGATGATATCAGTCTGGTTAGGACTGAACCATCTCAGCCCTCCTGCCCAGTGTACGCTGAGTTGGTGGATGTTATGGGGCGCGCCACCAACAGATTGCAGCTGCAGTGGAGGCGCGTCCGGGAGGAACCAGTTCGTGGTATTTTGGACGATCGGTTCCTCCAAGGTGAGCTGAGCTCCCACATGTTGTGGTCGCCAGGTTACAGGCCTTCCAGGCTATGAGCTTTCATATGTCAGGTCACAGGCCTTATCCAGCCTTCCTGAATGTGAGCTCCCACATACTGTGGTTATCAGGTTACAGGCCCCACCCGGCCTTCCTGATATGAGCTCCCACATACTGTGGTCGCCAGGTTACAGTCCTCACTGGCCTTCCTGATATGAGCTCCCATATACTGGGTATCAGGTTACAGGCCTTACCAGCCTTCCTGATATGAGCTCCCACATACTGTGGTCGCCAGGTTACAGGCCTCACCGGCCTTCCTGGTTATGAGCTCCCAAATACTGGGTATCAGGTTACAGGCTTTACTAGGCCTTCCTGAATATGAGCTCCCACACACGGTGGTCGCCAAGTTACAGGCCTCGCCAGGCCTTCCTGGTTATGAGCTCCCACATGCTGTGGTCGCCAGGTTACAGGCCTCATCGGCCTTCCTGATATGAGCTCCCATATACTGGGTATCAGGTTACAGGCCTTACCAGCCTTCCTGATATGAGCTCCCACCTACTGTGGTCGTCAGGTTACAGGCCTCACCGGCCTTCCTGATATGAACTCCCACATTCAGTGGTCACCAGGCTCAACCCGGGGTCACCAGGCTCAACCTGGGTCCGCGGGTCACGAGTCGGCCCGCGCATCACTACTCCTCGGCCTTCCTGGTTACGAGTTGTCACATGTCAGGTTTCAGGCCTCACCAGGCCTTCCTGAATGTAAACTCCCACACATTTTGACTATCAGGTTACAGGCCTCATCTGGCCTTCCTGATCATGTTAAGACCATACTTATGGTAAGTCACATGATGGAACATCTTGTGTACTTTTTAAAATCCATTTTTATGGTAAGGGTCATGCGCTGTAAGCTTCGGTCCCTTTCTATGTGGCCCAGACCCAGGTCTTTCACCTCGGGTCCTACTCTAGATGCGTCCTGTCGTCAAAGTATACTACGACAGACGCCTTTCTAGCTAACTTCCACATTCTGATCCAGGCCTTTTCTGGACTCGGAATGGCTAAGTACATGCACTTTTGTTTCATGTACTTTCTAATGTAGCCCCCACGTGGTGTGGTTGTCAGGTTACAGGCCTTATCAGGCCTTCCTGGTTATGAGCTCCCATATTCTGGGTATCAGGTTACAGGCTTATCCGGCCTTCCTGATATGAGCTCCCATATACTGTGGTCGCCAGGTTACAGGCCTCACCCGGCCTTCCTGGTTATGAGCTCCCACATGCTGTGGTCACCAGGTTACAGGCCTCACCGGCCTTCCTGGGCAGTTTTCCAAGGCAGTTTCCAGAGGCTCTGTCTCGGACAGACAGGCAATGGCCAGACTGTGCGTCTTAGTTTAGATCACCAGGCCAGCCTGGTGGCATGTCAGGAGGCATGCTCTCCTGAATAGTGACTGGCTGGGAGTCCCTTGAGTCCCCTAGCCACACTCCCTAGAAGGGACCCCTTCTATTAGGAAGTTGTGGTCCTAAGCCTTTGAGCTGGCCCAGATATTCCTCCCATGAACTATGTTCTGGCAGTTTTTCTCGGTTCATTAGCTTGGGCTATGACCGGTAGGGAGTGCTGTCACTGACAGCCCAACGTGACCTAGAGTGAGTGGTTTTAGTGTCCTTTGTATTCCTGGTTCTGACCGTTGTCACTGCCATTGGGCATGCACTCCCCTCAGTATGGCAGCGTGGGTATTTCGTTCCCCATAGCGTCGATGACGTATTGTTGAGTTCCCTTCGAAAGGGAATGTCTCAGGTTACGACTGTAACCTTTGTTCCCTGAGAACAGGGAACGAGACAATACGTCTCCTTGCCATACCTCGGGGCCTGCCTGCAACAGTCCCTTCAGACGATAGGATGTTGTCACGGTTTCAAGGCACCCTTTTTATACATCCAGGTTGCGCGCTCATCATCCGAGCTGATGATGCACGGGCTGTCGCCGGTCAACATGATTGCTGTGAGTTGATACTTGATTTCAGACACCTGTCACGCCTGAGGCGTTCCCCATAGCGTAGATAACGTATTGTCTCGTTCCCTGTTCTCAGGGAACAAAGGTTACAGTCGTAACCTGAGACATTTCCGAACCATGAAGAGTTATCTTCAGTCATCTCGTGTACTTTAGTTGAAAGATCAAGTCTTGTTAGACCACCATGTTTGTGCACGAGTCCTGGATTGCAGCCATCTTCGTGTGTGACGTGCAAGCATTCTTTCCAGCAAACAAGGCGTTTTTTTTTTTACATATTCATCAGCTAAGAATATGTTGTTTCTGGAGTCCAGACTTTGTGCGATGTCCATGATGGTTAATAGTACGGCAATCTTGATCATGTTGATGGATGATTGAAGGTTCCGTAGTGGGTCTCTGCGTTGTGTAATTTTTTCTTTTTCTTTATCCTTTTGTGATAGTTGGCTCGGTAGGGGGTCTTGTTGTTTCCTGGAAGTGATGTCTTCATATGCAGGTGAGGAGGTCGGTGCGTATGGGTCTCAGGACAGCCATCACGTGGTACCTGCACAGAGGAGGAAAGAAAACAAAAGACAGGAGAGCAGTATTTGTTCAAACCCTAGGGTTGTAAACTTTTCCGAGTCTGCTATCGTTGTTCTTTCTTTCCCTATTTCTTAATTCGTTTGACACCTAAATAGAAAGCAGTGAGGTAGGGATGGACTATGGAGGGGGAAGGCCTATGAGGGAGTCTTCACCGCAGGGTTTGGCCCCCGACGCCTGTTGCAATCGGTTCTTCCCTGGGCTCCTCACTGTTCCGTGTCCTGTCATTTCCCTGTGGGAGGGGGAACAACTTTTACAGTGTGACACAATGAGTCCAGGTTTATCTTTCCTAACACAATACTGCCGCTACTTTAATTTACATCACTTGATGTGGTCCGTGCCATTTAGGATCTAATGGCTTGCAATATTCTAAACACTTCCTTGACTACCTGTCCGGTGACGTGTGTACCTTGATCTGCGTAACACAATCGTGAGTCATTTCTCCTTCATCCTCTAACACAACTTCAGTTATTGTAGACATCATGCATGAGAATGGTGACAAAAGTGACTTTTGCTTGATTCATTATTGTGGTCACTACATTGAGGGCATTTTAAGTTTACAGCCTGACCCAGCTCATTACTAATGAAGGGCCTGTGCTGTAGACAACATTTAAGGCTGTGAGTCTACTTAACCATTGTCCCCACAAAGGAAAGCTGAGATAGTCACTTTCCTTTTGTTCTATTAAACAAAAATAAGTCTTTTATCTCTGTTGTAAGTTACTGGGGAGAATTAAGCACTCACAGCACAAATGGTTAACACCTCAACATGTTGCCCCACCCGTTTAATGACGTGGGCAGTGGCTGCTTCAAAGTAGCAAGCAGATTTAGTAGCAGCTGAGCAACATTATTAACCTCAATAAAGTTCTTTTTGCTTTTCCTACACTCTTTTCTCCAGTGTCCATGCTTACCACAGTAATAACAACTGCCCTCTCTCTTAGGACATTTACGTTTCTGTTGGTTCTCTGTGTTGACCTTAAAGGAGGCTGCTGCAATGTTTACGCTTGCCTTCACATCAAAGTCTCTTTCCCAGGTGGATAACCTGTCTAGGTTACTTTGCAGGGTTCTAGTGGACCATGTGACATCTAAGAAAGGCAATGCTTTTCTATGCTCTGACAAAAGGCCATCAAACCATGTGCGAACGAGGGCACCATTGTCCTCTAGCACCTTCTCTGAAGTGTCAACAATCCCACTGTATGCTGCAGCTGTCTGACAAAATCTTTCTGTGTACTCACATACAGTTTCATAATTCTTCTGTACACAACTAGTGATCTTTGACCAGTCCACTTTTGGTCCAACAATGTTCTTTAACACTCTCAGAACTCCCTCTCTCAATTAATCTTTTCTGGCATGCTGTAGTTCAGAACTGTTTACAGCATTTTCAAAATCATGGAATTCTGACTCAAGATCTGTGATATTAGCTGGTTGACTTCAGCTAGAGACATATCGTAGAGCCGCATCTTTTTTGACAATTCTCTCCTAAACTCTCTTTAGGAGCTAAAGATAATTTGACTGCTTGTAGCTGCAGTATGGGGGTTGCTGATGGAACTGGATCAACCCCTTTTCCCCTACTCTGAGCCTTTTGTCTTGCTCCACACACTTCAACTGCATTTACATCTTTCATCAATACAGCACTGACATTGTCCTCTATTCTATAAAAAAACTGTACATCAGGATAGCTTTCATCTGACTGTTGGTTTTCTGAGTCACAATTGGATGAGGCTTTGTTATGGCCCACCTTTGTCTTGAAACAGGACACTTGAGTCTGCAATTGTTTGTTCTGTTCTTTTAACTTCCCAATACACTGAGCTTGCTCTTGTGCAACGGATAAGCTAAATTCCATGTGACAGAAAATAATGCCTTTTAGGTTTCTCTTCCTGATACATGCACCTATCACCTTTTTGCATTCTTCAATAAACCATACTTTTTCTGGGTGAATACCAAATTTCTTTATCAAATTCAATCTGACTGACTCAGTCACTATGGAGTCCATGTGCTCTCCTAACAATGACTTGAACTCACTGTCTGTCCATAGAGGGCTAGCTAGTCCACCTTTCTGAGTTGATGGAACTAGCCTAGCATTCCTTCTAACCATTTTGTGAGTTTCTTTGTTACCACACTAACAAACACTAAAACTTCTCTGTTCAAACAGAGGCTACACTCGAGGCAACACAGAATCTTACTTGTTACCAACACATCACAAACTATTAGCACGTTACGCTAATCTTCCCTGAAAGAAACAGAAAGGATCTTTCACCATCCTAACTTTTAGAGGATAAAACAAAATTACTAGCATGTAATGCTAACTCTTCCCTGCCTGAAACAGAGGATCAAACTTTCCTCTCTAAAAGAATTTTTTTAGAGGGTAACACCACAAAATAACAAAAAACAAATAATTAGCAAATAATACTAATCTTCCCTGCCCAGGGGCGCTGTAAAGGGGGGGGGGTAAACGATGACGATTCTCGGGGCCCATGACTAAGAGGGGGCCCAGAGAAGCCCTCAATAAAATTGTGGTGCTAAAAAAATATATTTGATAGTAAAAATTATTAACTTTAAATTATTCTATTTGCTGTTTCCTGGTGTCAAAATTTTTATTTGTTTAGGAAACACAAACGTCCGTGGGCCCCTCTCCCCCTCTCGATTATCATAAAATGGTTCAGTCCGCCCAAATTGTATCCAGGCAACGTATTTTTACGCTCTGATTGTGTGAGACGTACAAGCTCGGACAGATTCGGCTTGAAGTCGTTCATCCTCGGATGCGGTGCCGCGCGCTGTTACAAAAAAGCTGTGCACACAGCTAAGCAAAATGAGGTCTTGCCGGTCTTGCGCACCGAACTTGTCACTTTTGCAGTGCTCGTGCGGACGCGTCGAGAATAAACAAGGCTTTACTCCGTGTCAGCGCGCGCTCTGATCGGTAAAGGTGCACGGACCTCTCCCAATCATCTCAGCCTCCGAAGCACCAACTAACTTCGCCTCCGTTTCCCCCGTAAGCTGATATTAGTATTTAAACATTCTCTATGATTTTTTTTTTTTAAATGACACACTGTCTCTTTCTCTCTCATACACACTTTCTCTCTCTTTGTGGTTAAGAATCGTGTAAAAAAAAAAACCTTATTTTCCCAGATAGCACAAGTCTATTTGATGTGATGTTTACATCTGGAAGACGTATTTTTAAGAGTGTTTGCTCATCTGCAATACGTCTATTGGACGTTTCCTGTCAGATGTCAAATAGACGTTTAGAAGATGTCTTTAAGATGTAATGATTTAGAATGCATGTTAAACTGACAACTTCTAAACGTCTATTTGATATCTGACAGGAAACGTCCTATTATATAGACGTATTCCAGATGAGCAAACACTCTTAAAAATACGTCTTCCAGATGTAAACATCACATCAAATAGACTTGTGCTATCTGGGTTGGGGATGGATTCCGGGAAATCTCCCTTATTTTCAATATTCAATGTTGACAGCTATGGCGTACGCACGCTTTGTACATGAGGCCCCAGGTCATACGGTAGCATTTTTCGACAAGTTAGCACGTTTCGATAGAGCAGGGTGCAGCGGGTGCACGGCTTTGTATTACAGAGGACAAATTACGGGTGAGGACATGGGATGGAGTTCAATTGTCTGATTGACTTAAATATATGAGAATGATAGTCAAAATACCATAAAAGCGCATGATTTTATTTGAATTAATATGAAAAAAGTCTCAGCTGTGTTGGGGGCCCTGTCAAGATTCTTTTCATGGGGCCCAAAATCCTTAGCAGCGCCCCTGTCCCTGCCTGACAACAGAGGATATTTTTTAACACGTAATGTTAAAACTTCCCTGCCTGAACAGAGGATATACTTTCATCTTTAAAAGACAACTTTTAAAGGATAACTTGAGTTAATCAAATTCTACAGCTGTTTGATAACTCTTCTCTGACAGCACAGAGGATATTCTGGTTTTACTGGTCTGCAGCGGTTCTTTGAATAGAGTGAAACTCACCAAATCGTTGTTTATACGGAAAGGATTCCGTCTGGAAAACTCAGTCAGAAATGTTAATTCTTTGTTGAAATCTTTGTTGCTTGAAGTTTCAAGATTCAGTTCTGGAAATCTTTGTTGCTTGAAGTTTCAAGATTCAGTTCTGGAAATCTTTGTTGCTTGAAGTTTCAATCTGGATTAAGGTGATTCAGTCTCTATCCGGGTCACAGGGCACCATCTGTAGTGAAGTTTTTCTTCCACGCAACAGACCAGGAGACTTTGAGGTATCTTTCACGAAGAAGTTCTTTATTGCGTCGCTGTAGTCATCTCAAGAATAGTCTGGCTAACTAAAATACAGAACTATTCTTATACATTTCAAAAAAAGGGGGTGGGTTACATAGAGGTGGAGACACTGAAACAAAGCAAATGGAAATGCAAGATTCAGCTGGTTACAGGAAATTCTTCAGGCCTGATCTCATCAGCATAGCAGTTATTCGGAGCCTTGAGATGCTAATCCAGTCAGCCTGACTAGATTGGTTAAACCTTTACATTATCATTGAGACAAAGAGTGGGAGTCTCAGTGGCCATTAAAGGGATAGTTCACTTTAAAATGAAAATTCTGTCATCATATACTCACCCTCAATTTGTTTCAAACCTGCATGAATTTCTTTCTTCTGCTGAACACAAAAGAAGATATTTTGAAGAATGTCAGTGACCAGACTTTTAACTGGAGCCATTGACTTCCACAGTATATATTTTTTCCTACTATGGAAGTCAATGGCTCCAGTTATCGGTCTGGTAAACATAACTTCATACTTTCTTAGTTCACATTGGATCAGATCAGCATTCTGTAAAGGTTTATTAGAAGTTAACTTTTTCCTCCCCACTTATGTCAAAGAATTTTGTCTCCTTGATGTATAAACTGTTTCCAAAGAGTGAATGGCATTGCAACTTACAAGGAACTGAAGTCTTTGTCTCTCTGACTCAGGGGTGAACTCTGTGGACATAGGAATTATCTCTCCATTTCTGATTATAATGGCTCTGAGGGGTAAAAAAAAACACACACACGCACGCATGCACGCGCACGCACACACATATATATTTACATGGAAATATATTTATGGAAATTATCAAACCTGTACATACATGTGTATAAATATCTCAAATATGTCTTACCTGCTATCTCCAGCATTGGCAACAAATAGTTTTCCCAGCAGGAAGACAACTACAAGCACAGTGCAGCCACCAGAGATGTTGTATATAGATTTTTCCCTCTCGATTTGGGCATCCTGAAATTAACACAAATGCATAGAGACATGGAGATGAAAGAAAGAAAAGCAACTATAAAATAAACTGTTACTACATTTATTTGGATAAACCATGTTAAAAATCATTGAAAAATATCTATATGCACACCTTTGGCCACACATCAGCAGATTTCTATACATTTTATGTATCAAAAATAAAACGTTAGGCTAATGAGAAATATTACATGTCACAACAATTATTTATTGTTATTATATTTATTGTTATTATTGTAATTAGGAATTGTATTATTGTAAGGAAATTTAAATATTTCTTGAACAGTGTTGTCCTTACCATATTGTTTTTGCTGCTACTTAATAAAAACAAAAAGCCACTTGAGATCAGTCTTACAGTGATTTTGTCATGGTTATAGGTGTTATAGCCAGAGTGTTCAGTTCTCTACACTGTAAACCTGAATAAGTTGGCAAAACTCAAAACATTTGAGGTAATCTGTTAAGAAATTCAAAGTTTAAGCAGAACTGGCAGATTTTTTAGCTTGTACGCATACATTTTAATTACTCTTAACTTGAAATATTTGAGTAAACTTAAAATTATCATGTAATCTCAATTTAAATATTTGTAATAGTAGAAACTTGGTTAGCTTTAACTAGAAAATTTAATAAATATACCTTGCTAATTGGTGACACAATGCTTTGATAGCATTAGCAAGTTCTTAAAACGCAAAACAATGAAACAATTCAGATTACATAAAATGTGTCAGTTTTGTCAACTCAAAAGTAAAAGAAAGTTCTAAATACTCTAAAAGTTAATTTGATTGAACTAATTTGTTTAATTTAAGTTTACCCTACTAAAACCAAATTAATTAGGCTATTTTAAGCATTAGGTATTACAGTGAAATGGTATTAAGGCATTATATTTCCATCTACAGTATGTGGATCAGCTTAAGCGTCTCTCAGTTTAATGTAAGTTACAATTAAACCAGTCAAGCGATCTAAGTGTAGCGAGTGGTCTACACGTAAGGTAAGGCCCACTTTCACTTTCTTATGCCATATCGCTGTTTACTCTAATTTTCTACGTCTTTCTATTTTTTTTTTTTGCCTTTGTCAGACTTTCTGACTTCAGACCTTTTACACTGCTTCAGCAGTACAAGTACTGATTCTCCTGTTGTCGCTGGTAAAGCACGATAATAAGAGAGTTCCATGGTCTTATTTTCACTCTTTGCATAACCATGCTACACTACTAGTGGCAAACAATGAGCGTGAGAATTCTCTTCGACGTTTAGCCAAACACAGCGAGTGACTTAATTTCAGCATTGTCAAATACAGAGGTTTGACTCGCACCATTGTTAAGACGCACACGCACAGTTTTTGAGTGCTGGATAAAATTTTATTAATGCATTGTTGATTTTGTGTTGTATTTTATGTATTTGTTATTATAATTTTTTTTATGTGAAACTTTTTGTGCTGCCATTTTGGCCAGGACTCCCTTAAAAAAGAGATTTTATATCTCAATGAAACTATCTTGATAAAATAAAGGATACATACATTTTCTTAATTTTTAAAAATGTATATACTACTGTAACTGTGCAGGTTGGGAAGGAGGAGAACTGAAATGGGGATCTTTTGCAGAAGTTTTAATAAATCAAAATGAGATAATCCGAACAGATATGAGAGAAACAAACACAGTGTCACAGCTTTGCAAAAACAAAGACTATAACCGACAAAAGAAAAAACAGAAACACAGGCTATATATACACATTAGAAATGAGCAACTAAACTAGACACAGAAGAACACAATGATTTAATAAGGAAACTAATCAGTGACTATGGAAACAAACTGAAACAGGAAATAAACACAGGGAACAGGAACTCAAAAATCACAGGAACCGAAAACCTTCACAAACAAGGCTCAAACCAAGAACCGACAAAAACTTGTTGTGACAACTACATTAGAACTACATTAGCCAGAAGTACGTCGGCATGTGTTCAAGTTTTATTCGGACATGATCAGGTTGTTTAGTGAGTTGTTTATTTTACGAGTGAGCGAGTTGTTATTTTATTTTTTGTTCTCGGACAGAGGTTAAGCATCGTCCTAAAATGGCCCTTTAAACCAGATAAAAAGAAATCTGCTCTGTCATGGTTTTAAATAGTTCTAGACTCAGTCTAGTCTATAGTTTTTATTAAGCTGATTTCCTGGAGGAAGACTAGAGCTATATATATATATAAACCTCCTGATAGGTTTAATTTAAGCCTTAATTTAGTCCTGAAGGAGCTCTAGTCTTCTTCCAGGAGATCATGGTCATCATCTGGTATGTTCTTCAAAGGTTGCCGGCTCTCAATTACTCCTGTCAGTAATTCATCTAAACTGGTCAGTATCTTTATTTGCAGTTCTTCTGCCTGTTTTTGTAGATGTGTGTTCTTTTGAATTCTTTTGTCTTTGATTCCACAGCTGATGTGTGCTGTTTTTCTTTGCTATTTGCCTTAAAATAGTTTTGTCTTGTTCCGTAAAGTTTTTTGATGGCAGACTTTTTTTCTGCTGCCATTGTTTTCCTTGGATTTTCTTAGTTCCATGCAATTTTAAGCTTTTCTTGGTTCATTCCATGTTTTACAGGCAACCTTGATTGTGTTAAATCAGATTGGCACAGTTTGTTTTGAATTAATCTTGTTTATTTTAGTTCAGATGTTAGTAATCTGTACTTAATCTGTTTCAGATTAAGCTGTCGGGGAAACCGCCCATTTATGTATAATGCACTATAAATGTATTCATAATGTATGTTATAATGCATTGTATTTTCATAAATAAATGTAATCAAAGTTAAAATGCATTTTAATATTTGCATATTTTTTCTTGTTATATCTGAAATTGGTTGTATTATACTTTCTAAAGGTGTAACAATAAATAGATAAGCATTAATGCATTATAACTGTGCTTACGATTATTCATAAGACCATACAATGCATTATAAGGTGCATTACAAAGCATTATTAATGTATTGATAATATTTTTATAATTCATAATATATAAAGGTTTTAAGAAAAGTGTTACCGTATTTTCTTTAAAAACACTTTATACTAAGTGTAAACAGCGATAGATGTGTGATCCTATTTCTACTTATTGCAAATAGTGACAGATACTATTTGCACCTCAGTGTATTGTAGCATATTATAAAACAGTATGCAATAATAACAACATATTCAGTATATGTGTTTAGATTTATTAAAATCATAAATGGATGCTGCCTTATTGGGACATTTGTCCCTATTCCTAAAGCCCTACACCAAATTCAATTTCAAATATAGCTGCGAGCAGCGATTACGGGCCCAAGCCGGTGGCACCGCAACCCCGGTGCCTTTAGTTACCTAAAGGCACCGGAGTGGCGGTGCCGCCGGCTTTGGCCCTTCATCGCTGCTCGCAGCTATATTCATATATATATATATATATATATATATATATATATATATATAAAGCCGGTGGCACCGCCACCCTGGTGCCTTTAGGGTTATTGTGCACGACGTGCAAAAACGTAACCCTGCTTTGACTGTCGAAAAGAAGTGTGCTGTAGAGCTTGTATCAGTGTGGGCTCTGCAAAAGTGTGCATTGAGGGCACATGTCAACCACAAAGTATGCGAGAGCAACCTTCTGAAAGGTCAGGTCTACATCCAGGTCTACATCTGCCGTGTGTTTACATCATAGTAGTGAAGTTTGAAGCAATCAGGTGATTTCAAAGCTTTTTGAAAGTGACAGACTTCCTGCTGCCAGTTGGTGGCGCTATAACCGGGGTGGCGGTGCCGCCGGCTATGGCCCTTTCACGCTGCTCGCAGCTATATTTATATATATATATACACACACACACACACATATACATATATATATATATATATATATATATACATAAATATATATATATTGTTTTTTTAAGAGACAAGACAGAATATTACTTGCCTGATCTGATTAGAAAAGTAGTGTTTGTGTGTGTGTGTGTGTGTGTGTGGCGTAATTGAACAATGTAGACATAAAGACATACTCCGTCCTTTTGTTCATACAGGACATTATTCAAACTGCAAAGTGTTTGCTTATATTTGTGTACACTCGCAATAAAACACAACATTGTGCTTTTGTCAAACTATAAACTCTTGTCAAACTGTAAACTACAACTGTCACCCAACCAAAATCTCTTACACACACACACACACACACACACACACACACAGTTTAAAAGCAAAAAATATCAAACAATCCTATTTAAAAACAGTCTGTGGGAGCCATCTTTTGGACATTCATCATATCGCATTGGTTTTCATTTCTTGTCATCAAACAGAGCCCTAATCTGTTTATTTTTTCAGTTACACATTCTACATTGATTAAAAAAGAAAAATCAAAGGTGTTTTTATTTTATACAGAAATAAATAATCTATCATTCAGATGAGAATAAAGTTAGTGTTAGTTCAAATTTTAAGGAAAACAAATATATGATCTGAAATATAGCACATTCATGTAAAATTCATTTAGGTTCGATTACCAAACATACAATCTTAATGTAATTTAAAGCAAACAATACATTTAAAATATATGGGTTGTATGACTATTTTTTAATATAAAAAGATATATATCCAAAAAGACAAGGTCTAAAGTTTAACAAGGGTTAAACTCTTATCACTGTAACAAACACAATCACACACACAATCACACACACACACACACAAGTCAAATCACTTACATTTTAGATGCAATATTGACTTTTTTTCTGTTTCAGCAGCGAAAATAGTTAAACAAAGATCACAGCAGAACCATCGCGCATCTCACAGCAACGTGTTCTCATTACTGAATGATTCAGCATTTTGAACGAATCGGTTGACTCAAAGATTCAATGACCAATCAATCCATAAACATCTATCTCATAAGTGTTTACTTATATTTGTGAACAATCGCAATAAAACACAACATTGTGCTTTTGTCAAACTGTAAACTACAACTGTCACCCAACCAAAATCTCTTTTTTATTTTATACAGAAATAAATAATCT